TCTGTGTCTGTCCCTGAGTAACAATTCTGTGTCCCTCAGTAACAATTCTGTGTCCCTCAGTAACAATTCTGTGTCTGTCCCTGAGTAACAGTTCTGTGTCCCTGAGTAACAGTTCTGTGTCCCTTAGTAACAATTCTGTGTCCCTCAGTAACAATTCTGTGTCTGTCCCTGAGTAACAGTTCTGTGTCCCTGAGTAACAGTTCTGTGTCCCTGAGTAACAGTTCTGTGTCCCTCAGTAACAATTCTGTGTCCCTCAGCAACAATTCTGTGTCTGTCCCTGAGTAACAGTTCTGTGTCCCTGAGTAACAGTTCTGTGTCCCTGAGTAACAGTTCTGTGTCCCTCAGTAACAATTCTGTGTCTGTCCCTGAGTAACAATTCTGTTCCCTCAGTAAAAATTCTGTGTCCCCTCAGTAACAATTCTGTGTCCCTCAGTAACAATTCTGTGTCTGTCCCTGAGTAACAGTTCTGTGTCCCTCAGTAACAATTCTGTGTCCCTCAGTAACAATTCTGTGTCCCTCAGTAACAATTCTGTGTCTGTCCCTGAGAAACAGTTCTGTGTCCCTGAGTAACAGTTCTGTGTCCCTGAGTAACAGTTCTGTGTCCCTGAGTAACAATTCTGTGTCCCTCAGTAACAATTCTGTGTCCCTGAGTAACAATTCTGTGTCCCTCAGTAACAATTCTGTGTCTGTCCCTGAGTAACAATTCAGTGTCTGTCCCTGAGTAACAATTCTGTGTCCCTCAAGTAACAATTCTGTGTTTAACTGTGTCCCTCTAAGTAACAATTCTGTGTCTCTAAGTAACGATTCTGTGGCCCTAAGTAACGTTTCTGTGTCCCTAAGTAACGTTTCTGTGTCCCTAAGTGCTAACAACCCCTTCCTCTGTGCCACGTCTGCTCGCTGAGTAAAACATTGCCTCCTCTGCCACTCCTCTGCAATGTTGTCTGTGCATACTCTTTAATTCAACGATTCTGTGTCCCTGAGTAACAATTCTGTGTCCCTGAGTAACAATTCTGTGTCTGTCCCTGAGTAACAATTCTGTGTCCCTGAGTAACAATTCTGTGTCCCTCAGTAACAATTCTGTGTCCCTCAGTAACAATTCTGTGTCCCTCAGTAACAATTCTGTGCCCTCAGTAACAATTTTGTGTCTGTCCCTCAGTAACAATTCTGTGTCTGTCCCTGAGTAACAATTCTGTGTCCCTCAGTAACAATTCTGTGTCCCTTAGTAACAATTCTGTGTCTGTCCCTGAGTAACAATTCTGTGTCCCTGAGTAACAGTTCTGTGTCCCTGAGTAACAATTCTGTGTCCCTCAGTAACAATTCTGTGTCCCTCAGTAACAATTCTGTGTCTGTCCCTGAGTAACAATTCTGTGTCCCTGAGTAACAATTCTGTGTCCCTGAGTAACAATTCTGTGTCCCTCAGTAACAATTCTGTGTCTGTCCTGAGTAACAGTTCTGTGTCCCTGAGTAACAATTCTGTGTCCCTGAGTAACAATTCTGTGTCCCTCAGTAACAATTCTGTGTCCCCTCAGTAACAATTCTGTGTCTGTCCCTGAGTAACAGTTCTGTGTCCCTGAGTAACAGTTCTGTGTCCCTCAGTAACAATTCTGTGTCTGTCCCTGAGTAACAATTCTGTGTCCCTGAGTAACAGTTCTGTGTCCCTGAGTAACAATTCTGTGTCCCTCAGTAACAATTCTGTGTCCCTCAGTAACAATTCTGTGTCTGTCCCTGAGTAACAGTTCTGTGTCCCTGAGTAACAGTTCTGTGTCCCTGAGTAACAATTCTGTGTCCCTCAGTAACAATTCTGTGTCCCCCCGAGTAACAATTCTGTGTCCCCCTCAGTAACAATTCTGTGTCCCTCAGTAACAATTCTGTGTCCCTCAGTAACAATTCTGTGTCCCTGAGTAACAATTCTGTGTCCCTGAGTAACAATTCTGTGTCCCTGAGTAACAATTCTGTGTCCCTCAGTAACAATTCTGTGTCTGTCCCTGAGTAACAATTCTGTGTCCCTCAGTAACAATTCTGTGTCCCTCAGTAACAATTCTGTGTCCCTCAGTAACAATTCTGTGTCCCTGAGTAACAGTTCTGTGTCCCTGAGTAACAATTCTGTGTCCCTGAGTAACAATTCTGTGTCCCTCAGTAACAATTCTGTGTCTGTCCCTGAGTAACAATTCTGTGTCTGTCCCTCAGTAACAATTCTGTGTCCCTCAGTAACAATTCTGTGTCCCTCCTGAGTAACAATTCTGTGTCCCTGAGTAACAATTCTGTGTCCCTCAGTAACAATTCTGTGTCCCTCAGTAACAATTCTGTGTCTGTCCCTGAGTAACAATTCTGTGTCCCTGAGTAACAATTCAGTTCTGTGTAACAATTTCTGTGTCCCTGAGTAACAATTCTGTGTCCCTCAGTAACAATTCTGTGGTCCCTCAGTAACAATTCTGTGTCTGTCCCTGAGTAACAATTCTGTGTCCCTGAGTAACAGTTCTGTGTCCCCTGAGTAACAATTCTGTGTCCCTCAGTAACAATTCTGTGTCTGTCCCTGAGTAACAATTCTGTGTCCCTCAGTAAACATTCTGTGTCCCTCAGTAACAATTCTGTGTCCCTCAGTAACAATTCTGTGTCCCTGAGTAACAGTTCTGTGTCCCTGAGTAACAATTCTGTGTCCCCTGAGTAACAATTCTGTGTCCCTCAGTAACAATTCTGTGTCCCTCAGTAACAAATTCTGTGTCTGTCCCTGAGTAACAGTTCTGTGTCCCTGAGTAACAGTTCTGTGTCCCTGAGTAACAATTCTGTGTCCCTCAGTAACAATTCTGTGTCCCTGAGTAACAATTCTGTGTCCCTCAGTAACAATTCTGTGTCTGTCCCTGAGTAACAATTCTGTGTCTGTCCCTGAGTAACAATTCTGTGTCCCTAAGTAACAATTCTGTGTCCCTGAGTAACAATTCTGTGTCCCTAGTAACAATTCTGTGTCCCTCAGTAACAATTTCTGTGTCCCTGTAACAATTCTGTGTCCCTGAGTAACAGTTCTGTGTCCCCTCTGTAACCATTCTGTGTCTGTCGCTCAGTAACAATTCTGTGTCCCCTCAGTAACAATTCTGTGTCTGACCTCTTTAGTAACAATTCTGTGTCCCTGAGTAACAATTCTGTGTCCCTGAGTAACAATTCTGTGTCCCTGAGTAACAATTCTGTGTCCCTGAGTAACAACAATTCTGTGTCCCTCAGTAACAATTCTGTGTCCCTCAGTAACAATTCTGTGTGTCCCTCAGTAACAATTCTGTGTCCCTCAGTAACAATTCTGTGTCCCTCAGTAACAATTCTGTGGCTGTCCCTGAGTAACAATTCTGTGTCCCTCAGTAACAATTCTGTGTCCCTCAGTAACAATTCTGTGTCTGTCCCTGAGTAACAATTCTGTGTCCCTGAGTAACAATTCTGTGTCCCTGAGTAACAATTCTGTGTCCCTCAGTAACAATTTCTGTGTCCCTCTCAGTAACAATTCTGTGTCTGTCCCTGAGTAACAATTCTGTGTCCCTGAGTAACAATTCTGTGTCCCTGAGTAACAATTCTGTGTCCCTCAGTAACAATTCTGTGTCTGTCCCTGAGTAACAATTTCTGTGTCCCTGAGTAACAATTCTGTGTCCCTGAGTAACAGTTCTGTGTCCCTGAGTAACAATTCTGTGTCTGTCCCTCAGTAACAATTCTGTGTCCCTCAGTAACAATTCTGTCTGTCCCTCAGTAACAATTCTGTGTCTGTCCCTGAGTAACAGTTCTGTGTCCCTGAGTAACAATTCTGTGTCCCTGAGTAACAATTCTGTGTCTGTGTCCCTGAGTAACAATTCTGTGTCCCTCAGTAACAATTCTGTGTCCCTCAGTAACAATTCTGTGTCTGTCCCTGAGTAACAGTTCTGTGTCCCTGAGTAACAATTCTGTGTCCCTGAGTAAACAGTTCTGTGTCCCTCAGTAACAATTCTGTGTCTGTCCCCTGAGTAACAATTCTGTGTCCCTCAGTAACAATTCTGTGTCCCTCAGTAACAATTCTGTGTCCCTCAGTAACAATTCTGTGTCCCTGAGTAACAATTCTGTTCTGTGTCCCTGAGTAACAGTTCTGTGTCCCTGAGTAACAATTCTGTGTCCCTCAGTAACAATTCTGTGTCTGTCCCTGAGTAACAATTCTGTGTCCCTCAGTAACAATTCTGTGTCCCTCAGTAACAATTCTGTGTCCCCCTGAGTAACAGTTCTGTGTCCCTGAGTAACAATTCTGTGTCCCTCAGTAACAATTCTGTGTCCCTCAGTAACAATTCTGTGTCTGTCCCTGAGTAACAATTCTGTGTCCCTGAGTAACAGTTCTGTGTGTCCCTCAGTAACAATTCTGTGTCCCTCAGTAACAATTCTGTGTCTGTCCCTGAGTAACAATTCTGTGTCCCTGAGTAACAGTTCTGTGTCCCTGAGTAACAATTCTGTGTCCCTCAGTAACAATTCTGTGTGTCCCTGAGTAACAATTCTGTGTCCCTCAGTAACAATTCTGTGTCCCTCAGTAACAATTCTGTGTCCCCTCAGTAACAATTCTGTGTCTGTCCCTGAGTAACAATTCTGTGTCCCTGAGTAACAATTCTGTGTCCCTCAGTAACAATTCTGTGTCCCTCAGTAACAATTCTGTGTCCCCTGAGTAACAATTCTGTGTCCCCCTGAGTAACAATTCTGTGTCCCTGAGTAACAATTCTGTGTCCCTGAGTAACAGTTCTGTGTCCCTGAGTAACAATTCTGTGTCCCTCAGTAACAATTCTGTGTCCCTGAGTAACAATTCTGTGTCCCTCAGTAACAATTCTGTGTCTGTCCCTGAGTAACAATTCTGTGTCTGTCCCTGAGTAACAATTCTGTGTCCCTAAGTAACGTTTCTGTGTCCCTAAGTAACAATTCTGTGTCTCTAAGTAACGATTCTGTGGCCCTAAGTAACAATTCTGTGTCCCTAAGTAACAATTCGTGTCTGTCCCTGGCCCTAACAATTCTGTGTCTCGACCCAATTCTGTGTCACGTCTGCAATCGCTCCTAAAACATTGCCTCCTCTGCCAATTCTGTGTCTGTCTGACATAGTAACAATTCTGTGTCTGTCCCTGAGTAACAATTCTGTGTCCCTGAGTAACAATTCTGTGTCCCTGAGTAACAATTCTGTGTCTGTCCCTGAGTAACAATTCTGTGTCCCTGAGTAACAATTCTGTGTCCCTCAGTAACAATTCTGTGTCCCTCAGTAACAATTCTGTGTCCCTCAGTAACAATTCTGTGTGTCCTCAGTAACAATTCTGTGTCCCCTCAGTAACAATTCTGTGTCTGTCCCTGAGTAACAATTCTGTGTCCCCTCAGTAACAATTCTGTGTCCCTCAGTAACAATTCTGTGTCTGTCCCTGAGTAACAATTCTGTGTCCCTGAGTAACAATTCTGTGTCCCTGAGTAACAGTTCTGTGTCCCTCAGTAACAATTCTGTGTCTGTCCCTGAGTAACAATTCTGTGTCCCCTCAGTAACAATTCTGTGTCCCTCAGTAACAATTCTGTGTCCCTCAGTAACAATTCTGTGTCTGTCCCTGAGTAACAGTTCTGTGTCCCTGAGTAACAATTCTGTGTCCCTCAGTAACAATTCTGTGTCCCTCAGTAACAATTCTGTGTCTGTCCCTGAGTAACAATTCTGTGTCCCTCAGTAACAATTCTGTGTCCCTCAGTAACAATTCTGTGTCCCTCAGTAACAATTCTGTCTGTCCCTGAGTAACAGTTCTGTGTCCCTGAGTAACAATTCTGTGTCCCTCAGTAACAATTCTGTGTCCCTCAGTAACAATTCTGTGTCTGTCCCTGAGTAACAATTCTGTTCCCTCAGTAACAATTCTGTGTCCCTCAGTAACAATTCTGTGTCCCTCAGTAACAATTCTGTGTCTGTCCCCTGAGTAACAGTTCTGTGTCCCTGAGTAACAATTCTGTGTCCCTCAGTAACAATTCTGTGTCCCTCAGTAACAATTCTGTGTCTGTCCCTGAGTAACAGTTCTGTGTCCCTGAGTAACAGTTCTGTGTCCCTGAGTAACAATTCTGTGTCCCTCAGTAACAATTCTGTGTCCCTGAGTAACAATTCTGTGTCACTCAGTAACAATTCTGTGTCTGTCCTGAGTAACAATTCAGTGTCTGTCCCTGAGTAACAATTCTGTGTCCCTAAGTAACAATTCTGTGTGTCCCTAAGTAACGGTTCTGTGTCTCTAAGTAACGATTCTGTGTCCTAAGTAACAATCTGTGGCCCTAAGTAACGTTTCTGTGGCCCTAAGTGCTGCCTCGAGTAACAATTCTGTGTCTGCCAACAATCTGCTCCCTCCTAAAACATTGTGTCCTCTGCCATTCTCTGCATCTGTCTGACATTCTGTTTAGTAACATTATGTGTCCCTGAGTAACAATTCTGTGTCCCTGAGTAACAATTCTGTGTCCCTCTGAGTAACAATTCTGTGTCCCTGAGTAACAATTCTGTGTCCCTCAGTAACAATTCTGTGTCCCTGAGTAACAATTCTGTGTCCCTCAGTAACAATTCTGTGTGCCCTCAGTAACAATTTGTGTGTCTGTCCCTCAGTAACAATTCTGTGTCTGTCCCTGAGTAACAATTCTGTGTCCCTCAGTAACAATTCTGTGTCCCTCAGTAACAATTCTGTGTCTGTCCCTGAGTAACAGTTCTGTGTATCCCTGAGTAACAGTGTCTCTTAGTTC